TTCTGGCCAGTTGCAGTAATTGCACTGGATGGCTGCAAAGCTCTATTGTTTTTTTTTTTTTTTTTTTTAATATTTGTTCATTTATTTTAGGGTGGGGAGGGGCAGAAGGAGAGAGAGAGAATCCGAAGCAGGCAGCAGGCTCTGTGCTGAGTGGAGGGGCTCGATCCCACAACCGTGAGATCATGATCTGAGCCGAAGTCAAAGGTTGGACACTCAACCGACTGAGCCACCCAGGCGCCCCAAGTTCCACGTTTTAACCCTTCTGATTATTTAAGGAGCTCCTTCCTACCTGTTTGGTAGGCGTGTAGGCAGTAATCAGTTGATTTTTGTAGTTGATTACTTCTTCCAGAAAAAATGGGAAGTTCTGTTTCACTCTAAGGAATGTAACCCAGGCTTTTCCACCCAAATTCTTAGGGAGGCATGTGGATTCCCACTGCCTCCCGCAGGCTTATAAAATGGCACAGCCAGATACAAATGTATTCCTTCCTTCCTTCCTTCCTCCCTCCCTCCCTCCCTCCCTCCCTCCTTCCCCACCTTCCCTCCCTCCCTCTCCTCTCTCTCTCTCTCTCTTTCTTTCTTTCAGCTAAAATACATCACAGAGAAAAACGAAGAGCTCACTCAGTTTAACTCAGAACAAAGAGCAAAAAAGAAGAAGAAGTTAGAGGGAGAAAACAAGAAACCAGTGGAGCCAGCAGAGGCCGGAGCAGCAGGAAGGGACAGTTCGACTCTGTAGCCACCACGGGCAAAGGCAGGCGGCCTTCAGCGGGGAGGGTTGCCAAGAGCCGACGTTGCCACAGAAGGATTTTCCAGGGGATCAGCAGAGATTTAAACAAAAGGCTAAGAGGCTTGCCGTGCTGCGTTCTCAGAATCACTGGCTGCCGGAGCTGGTGTCAGAGAGACTCTCCAGCAGGATACTCCTTCTCCAGCCCCCGCTAACGGCATGGTTTGAGTGGCAAAGATTGGAAATTCTATCTCTTGCTAATAAAATTGTGTCAGCAGTTTAAATGTGGTCGATTTTTTAAGAAAATATGTTAGTTCTATATTCTATGTAATTTTTCAGGCTGACTGAAATTTTTCAGTCCTTGAAAGATGAATAAAGCTCTTTTAGTTCTTTTGACCAGCAATAAAGCTTTCAACCTGGGTCACTTGTGACCACGGGTAAACGTGATGTTTGGAAATTGTCCGTGTTACTTTTTAAAGGTGATTTTCTCCAGAACTCACTTGATGCAGCCTTTCTCTTGCTTATTTTGTAATTTAACTATAGTTCTACGGCCGGAAGTTTTCCTGGAGAGGAAAACCTGGGCTCTTCCCAGATGCTTCAGCGTGTCGTGTCCTGGTTCAGATGTGAGGGCTGGTCCTCCCAAGCGCCCGGTTCTGCTGTCTTCTCTCGGGGGGTGTCTGGGAGGCCCGGGGTGCGCATTTCCCCTCCAGGGGGAAGCGAGGGAAGTGGGGGGCAGCGTTTGCAGAGCCCAGTTCTGTGCACCGAGCTGCCCCGGAGGCTTCCCATAGTACCTCCGTGCATTTCCACAGCCTTATCAGTGTGGATCTCATTATCCCCATTTTACTGACATGCAGACTGAGGCTTGAAGAGGTTAACTCACTGCCCGGCTCTACGGATCAGAGACAGTAGTCACACTGGGGAGTGCTGACTAAAGAGAGGGCAAGAGAGACGAGGACACGTGTTTGGATAGAATTTATACCACCCGTGCCCAACTATGATGAGCAAGAGACACGCCAAAGTTTGACTCCCCGAGGGCGGTTGTGGGCTGTGGTCACAGGAAAGCACTGAAGCCAAGCTTCTCGGCATCAGGCCCCGCAAAGGACGAGCCATATCATCTCGGGAAATGACTGTGTGTCACATCGGAGAAAGGAAAGGGAATCCACCCTTAGGTCACACTCCCGCGCTGGTCTGTGCGTGAGCAGCTTCACTTCTGGATATGCTGTCGTGAACTGCACGTCACGAGAGGTTAGACAGTGGATGCCATGGACTTTCCAGAAGTCTTGGATTTGCATCCTGGTTTTGCAACTCCGGTGGCCGTGTGACTTCGGTAGGTTTGTGTTCTCAGTGCAGTGGGGCGCCCAGCACCTTGCAGCGAGGTTGTATGTGACAGGAAGGGGAAGGGGGGGCACTGTTACTGTGCGTCTCATGTTTGTGGATTTCTGGAGCTCTCGAAACTCGGGACACTCACGATTGGAAGTGGTGAACTCTGCGCCGCAGGCGTCCTGTCCCTGGCTACAGGCTTGGCACCTTGGAGCTGCCGTGAGTTTTGGTGTGAAATTTTCTAGCCAGATCGTAAAATTGACTTGATGTCCATGTCATCTGTTGGTTTGTTTGGCACTTTTAATGTGTGACCTGCTTATACTGCAGGTGAGTACGTTTTTCAGGGCTCACGACACGCAAGTGGTCAGACTTTGTAAGGAAGCGCTGACTATTTCCTCTTCCCCTCTGCACATTCGAGATGGGGTCTTGTTTACTCTGGAATATCCAAAGTGATGCCGATCGTCTTGTGCGAGGCCATCTTTGGGGGCAGATGGCAGAAAGGAGTGGCAGAGGGCCCTGTTTTGTGGGCTGGCTTCTTCAAGTGTCCCGGAAGCTCATCTGAATTTTTAACCTATTAGCCATTTACCACATGATGAACTGCATAAAGAGGCTCGTGTCTTTGGAGTGAAGGTGTCCTTGGAACACGGCTGGGGGCAACCTACGTTTATAGTATGTGTTGTCTTCCTTGTTACACCAGTTTCCCCAAGAGCTTGGAATATAAGGTGTGGTGTTGATGTGTTATTACCGAAGTTAACTGGAGCCGGCACCGAAGTTAACTTGGAAGGCACCCCTTTCCGCACACAGCAGCCCCTGGAATGCGGCGGGAAGGGTCGGCACTGGCTCGTACGCAGCCGATACCTTAGAGCCTAGTTGTCCCAGAAGGGTTAGATCGGGACACTTCCTCCCTTTACTGAACCGTGGATTTATAAAGAGGCCCTAGAGGTCATTTAGTCCAGTCTCCTCACCAACGAGGAACTCTCATAGCATTCTGGTTATGGGACACTCGCAAGTTTCTTCCGTATACAGACAAAAGTGTTTTCTAACTTCTTTAAAAATTTCTTAACGTCTTTATTTGTTTTTGAGAGAGAGCGTGAGCAGGCATGGGGCAGAGAGAAAGAGAGAGAGGGAGACAGAAAATCTGAAGCAGGCTCCAGGCTCTGAGCTGTCAGCACAGAGCCCAACGTGGGGCTTGAACTCACAAACTGCGAGATCATGACCTGAGCCGAAGATCATGACCTGAGCCGAAGACGGACACTTAACGGACTGAGCCACGCAGGCGCCCCTTTTGTAACTTCTATCTGGGTCCTGTTCTGTCCTTTAGAATGAGCTGTCTTTGTTTTTCAAGTTTTTCAAAATAATTCAGTACTGCCCTTTTTGTTTTCTGGTGTGTGTGTGTGTGTGTGTGTTAACGTATTTGTTTATGTTTAAGTAGGCTCCATGCCCAATGTGGGGCTTGAACTCAGGACCCTGAGATCAAGAGTCCCGTGCTCTACTGGCTGAGCCGGCCAGGAGCCCCAGTACTGGGTTCCTTTTACTCAAAGTTCCCACTCTGCATCTTTTCAGAAACACATACTTGCAGAAGACCTCAGATTATCAGCTCCCTGCGGACAGGCTTTGGGCTGGAGAAGGGTGGTCACCTGGTGTCTTGTGCAGCGGTGGGCACCCCGGTGTGTAAGAGGTGCCGGTGGAGCAAGCAGAGCCCTTGCTTAGGCTGCGTGGCTCCGGTTGGGGTTCCCACACGTGGCGTGTGGCTCTTCTCTGTCATGGGAGCAAGAACTGAGGAGATGTCAACAGTGGTTCCGAGCACGAGTGCCCGCTGTGCGTTCCACTTGTGCCGGGTTTGTTATTTGGTCCTCACAACGACTCCGTGACGCGGGCAGCAGGCGCTATTGTTCATCCCCATTTCCCAGATGAGGAAACTGGGGCCACAGAGAGGCTAATTAAATAGCAAAGCCAGGGTTTTCGTCTGCAGCCCTTACCTTGAAGACACGTTGCCCCCTCCTTGGAAACAGCCAGTACTGAGATGACACGTAGCCTTCCTCCCCCGCCCCACGCGGCCCTCCCCAGCTCACTTACTGTCACCCCGAAAGTGTGCTTTCATTTGTAGGCTGCGTGTTCTGCCCCCTGGCTGGGCTCTAACAGCGCTGCTGGGGTGGTGTGGGCTGGGTCCTTTGTCGTTCTGTGTACACGCTAGGTGCTCAGAGGGTTTAATGAGTCTGTCGAGTAAAGGCTGCAAAATAGGGGTGCCTGGGTGCCTCAGTCTGTTGACCACTCAGGTCACGATCTCATGGTTTGTGAGTTCAAGCCCTGTACTGGGTTCTCTGCTGTCCGTGCAGAGCCTGCTTGGGATTCTCTCTCTCTCTATCTCTTTCTATCTCTCCCCTGCTCTCGTGGTCTCTCTCAAAACTGAATAAACATTTAAAAAATATCTGCAAAATAACTCAGGGTACAAGAAACTGGCCGAGCTGCTGTGAATTTCTCATCTGTAAAAATCCCTCAGTTTTTAATCCATTTGTGGTGCTTAGGCAAAGAAATTAGTATAGAAAAATATATGAGCCAGGACTCCTCAGGTCATGGAGGTTTTACCCAGACCCTTTCAAGTCCTGTGATGAGATGGAACTTCACATGGACACATTCCCCGTGAGCGGGGGGTCCCAGGACTGTGGCCGAGAACCTATGTGCTCCCACTGCATTACTGCCTCTCGGGACCTTGCTGTGGCTCCTGGCCACGTTTAGCAGCTCTGTGGCCCGGGTCTCAGTTTACCGGTCGTCCTGGGTGGATGAAGAAGGCCTTCTGATTTCTGTTTCACGCAGAAAAAAGTGCGAGTTTATGACCACGAGTGGGGGCACCAGCAGCCTGCAGCGCCCCGCCCCCCCCCCCCCCCGGAGCTCAGTGGGATCTTGGCTACTCCCGGAACCTGTTGCATCAGAATCTGTACTTTGGGGAAGGGAAGCAAAAATAAGATAAAAACAGAGAGGGAGGCAAACCATAAGAGACTCTTAAATGCAGAGAACAAACTGAGGGCTGCTGAAGGGGAGGTAGGTGGGGGTGGGCACGAAGGAGGGCACTTGTTGGGATGAACCCTGGGTGTCTATGTAAGTGATGACTCGCTGAATTCTACTCCTGAAACCATTCTTACATTATATGTTGACTTAGATTTAAAGTTTTAAAAATTCTAAAATTAAAAAATCAGCACTTTCGAGTCCGTTTTCACAAGGTGATTCAGGTGCGGGGTAGTTTGAGGGGGCCTCGCCGGGAGGACCCTATTTCTGGCCTGCCTGGCACCGGAGCAGGCGCTCGGGGCCTCCTTGCCTGCGAGCTGAGCGCCTCCCTGCGCCCTCGGCACCCCCTTGCTCTGCGGCTCCGGAGCAGGTTCCAACCAGCCCGACGTGGGCGGAATTTCAGATTTTAAGCTCCTCACCCTTGGCCAACCCTGTGTCATGTTGAACCACCCGGCTCTGTTCTCACGGCCGCCCGCTTGCTCTCGGCAGGATGTTGGGGAGAGGGCAGCGCCCTCCAGAGCACCCAAATCTGCCCGGAACCCGGCGCAGTGTCGGGGAGGCTTTAATGAAGGGGTTAACTCTCATCCAAAGGTGCTTTTGTGAACTCTGATGGCGTAGGCCTGGGTGTGGGGGTGCCGGGGGGGGGGGTGGCGGCACGGTGCAGGCTTTTGACAGGTGTACACAAAAATACAGCTGCAGGGGGCGCCTGGGTGGCTCAGTCGGTTAAACATCTGACTTCGGCTCAGGTCATGATCTCATGGTTCATGGGTTCAAGCCCCGCATCGGGCTCTGTGCTGACAGCTCAGAGCCTGAAGCCTGCTTCAGATTCTGTGTCTCCCTCTCTCTCTGACCCTCTCCTGCTCACGCTGTCTGTCTCTCAGAAATAAATAAAACATTAAAAAAATTTTTTAAAAATACAGCCGCAGGTTGAGCTTAAAATCTCTCCGCACAATCCCCCGCC